AATCCCATGCAATTACAATATGGTTTATTAAGGAAATAAAGATTGTAATAAGTCTATAATTTGATGACAGTAAATGGGAGTAAGGAGTTATGAAACACTAAAAACAAGGTTCCAGGTAGCAGAACAGTAACATTCAGGTTCTGGAATTTCCTTCACTTCTTAAGCTTGCTGAGGATAGCAACGCTGCTACTCCTGCAGCAAATAAATCCAGAGAAGGCTTCACAGGTCACCAAATGGAGGGAGTCCAAATCTCTTAAGTTGGATTATTTTAGCTCCTATAGTTATATTACTTCACAAGTGTTTTATCAGAGAGACTTATTAATTTTGGGGACTTGACCTCTGTATATAGCAAGGCTTTTATCTATTTTGCCTCCTAAATCTACTTATCATTTTAAATTATTAGCAAAAGTCACTCCAATTACACCTATTTCCTGACTAGTCAGGATCATTATAATATTAATGCATGTAGCAACTAGCCTCCACTCCCTCTTAGGAGTTTGCATGTGGTCTCTATATAAATCATCTTACATACTGATAATCATCTCCTAATTTTGCAAAAAACTTTTTGATTCTAGTGTAGTGTCATTCCTACAATTAAGATGTGTGTGTGCGTGTGTGTGTGTGTGTAATTATGAATTATGTGTATGTGTTCTCTTTCCTTAACATATTCTGGTTGTTACTCTATAACACACATTCCAAATTATATCCCAGAATCTCTCCATTGATTTTAAACATTTCCTAACACTAAATAATCTCTAACTTCTATTATCCTGTACAATTCAATGGTCATTTCATTTATTTATTCATCTAAACTTACATAAATCATAGATTAAAAGTTTTTTTGAAAGTGGTTTTAAACTTCTATACACAACACTATTATTACATAATATGATTACCATTAAATAACAAGGTTCAATGAATTTTGCAGAGAAAAACCTAATTTAGCTCTCTTTTTCAGTTTTTCCTTCAAACTGTCCTCCCTCTCAGTTTTTCCCTCCCTTTTCCTCCTCTGGCCTTCCCTCCTCACCCTTTGTTTTCATTACTTGTGCAGGTAATAAACTCTTCTTTATCTCACAAAGATTGGATTTGGGGGCCTCCCCTGGTGGCACAGTGGTTGAGCGCTGGGCTGCAAAGCTGCCTGCAGCGTCTGCAGCGCCGGTTTGATCCCCGCCACTAGGCCAAGGTCCCACATGGTGCGCAGACCTCTGCTGCCACCCGCTGCTCCCCTCAGCAGTGTACTTCATCAGTCTGCCGTTCTGCTCTCTGCTCTGACTCTGGTGAATTCTCTCACCCTCCCGTGCTTCTGACTGTACCCAGTGCTTATATAAATAAATCTTTTAAAAAAAATAAAAAACTTGGATTTGGTCTATTGGTTGACACATCCAAGTGATGTACCCTTTGAATTAATATGATCTATGGGTCATTGTAATTTTCTGATTATTTGATTTCATGAAAGATTTACTCCTGAATCTATAATTGGACTGACTTTTTGATATATCTATAAATAAGGGCAGAGAACTTGTCTGTCTTACCTACTAATTTAATTTATCTTGTAAGGTCATACCTTATTCTATTTTTTGAATGAATGAAGAAGATTAGAGCAAAAAGACCATAATATAAAAAACAAAAAATTGGGGCCTCCCTGGTGGTGCAGGTGGTTGAGCGCCATGCTGTGAAGCTGTCTGCAGCCTCTGTAGTGCCAGTTCCATCCCCGCCCGCCTCGAGCAACCCACACGGCAAGAAGACCTCTCCTGTTTCACCCTCTGCTCCCCTCAGCAATGAATTTCATCAGTCTGCCTGTTCTGTTCCTTGCTCTGTCTGTCGTGAAACCTCTCACCCTCCCGCGCATCGGGCCTGTACCCCAGTTCTTGTATAAAAAAAAAAATCTTTAAAAAAATAAAATATAAATAAAAATAAATAAAAACCCAAATAAACCTCATCCCCTTTCATACTGTCCTTTTCTCTTTGTGAAACCCTACAGAATAATTTAGTCTTTGTGTCAGTCCTTATCTAGAGAATAAGATAATACTTCTCACACAAAATTATTGTGTGAATTAAATGTTAATGAATGTAAAGCGCATGTGACAGTCAACATGTAACAATCAACATGTGCTTTCATTATTGAGTCAAGTAAATTTTTAAGCATTTGTGATGAAGTTTTATTAGCAATCATCTGCTCTTCATCATGAAATTCTAGGTAATAAATTGAAATACTCCATCTACTTGAAGTGTTCTTTAATGTGAGATGCAAAGTATTTTCAATACTTAAAATTATGTCATGGTATATGCTTACATTCAGAACTATGTGACAATATATGAGTTAAATTATCAGGACCAGACAAAGTTCCATCCATTCCAGCTCAAGCGATTGATCTTGATTGATAATATCGATGAAATCAGTCAATAAGAGCTCAGAAATTCTGTCTAAATCTGTTCGTATGCAGAGTAAAGGGCACCCTGGGAACCCCGACTTGCAGGCTGTAGGGTGCAGGCCATCCATGCACACAAAGACAAAGCACACTTAGTGGGTAAAGAGCTTTAATAGGATTAGTGTGTGTAGAGAGAGGTGACAAAGGATAATAGTTTTGCATACCAAAAAAAAAAAAAAAAGAAAAAAACTCACACCCAAAATTACCTAACACCTTGGGGTAAATGCCCACACAAACAGGGTCAGCCCCAAGCAGGGCTACTAAGTCCTGAAAGGTTGCTACAAGTCTAAGTCACCTTCTATTGGGGAACCATTAGAAGGGGTTGAAAGGAGACAGGCATGTCCAGGATGAAAGGAGCAAAATTAAAGTACAAATCAAGAAATAGCTGCCATTATCGGCCTCTCTATGTGTCTATCCTCTGTGTCTCCTCCTAGCTGAAGTCCCTGGTGCAAGTCCAAAGCTGAGAAGCCAAATTCATCCTTCCTCTCCACATGTCTTTCTCTGTGTTTTCCCTGTGTCTCTCCAGAGCTCACCTGCCTTCCGTGTTACATAGGTTCACCTGACAACTCAGTTCCACACCCTGCTTCCTAGAAGCTAGTCCAGGGTGGCCACATTTAAATGGGTGCAGGGAACATGCTACCTCCCCCTTTTATGGAGATACCTCTATTACAATTATACTGTTTTTCAAATTTTGGATAAAAGAAAATGAAATTTAAAGTAAAAAATTGGAGATTTTTCTTTTAGATAAGTAGAAAATATGGTTCTAGACCAATCAGAAAAGAGTCTAGAGTAAAAATATCTGTTCATTAATAGAAAACATGTCAAGTCTTCTGGTTTAAAATCAGTAAACACAATTTAAATAATGATTTAATATTTTCTGTATGTAATCCACTATAGCACATACTCGGAGAAAGTTAAAAAGAACCATTAGTTCACATGCCTGAATCAAATTCTCATACTACCACTCCACCCACATTATCATTTTAGTCTTTGATCCTTAATGATTATAGTTTAGTAGAATACAGAAATAGTTTGTCTTTCTTCTGAAGGACTTTGTAGCTTTTATTTTGTGGATATACTGCAGGTAGTAATTTAAAATGAGATAGGGTAATCTATTATTAAGAATCATTAAGCAAAATAATAATTGCACATAGGATGTTCCAAATTTATACTGGAATAAGAAAACATACAACTTCCTTGCATTTCAGTTATAGAACTTTTAACTAGAGAGAGATTGAATCCTTTTTTATAGTCAAACTATTTCCCAAGGATGATTACAGAGCTGAAACTGTCACTGGATTCTGCTTTCCTCAGCAATTCAAAATAAAGGTTCACAAAGCACTTGGTACTTCTCAACCTATCATTTAGTATAAGATTTAAAACTGTCACTGATGTCACATTATTAGGGTATAAGACTTGATGCCATGTTGACACTAAATTCCATTTAAAAGCTTCCAAAAATATGCAGGATGTCTTGTTCTGTCTTTTACAACCCTCGATACAATCATCTTGAGTGGTCTCTAAGAAGCAGAAACCAGTGATTGTAGTAACCTCCATAATACTAGAGAATCAAGGCAGAGACATTTGCATTTTGATGCTTTGTACTAGAAAATGCACACAGTGAAAGTAGTGAGATGAGTAGGCCAAATGGCAATGTTCAACACATCTCAAAGCAAGAAATGGTAAGCATCTAGGCTGAAGCTGAGAAAACCGCAGAGATAAGAGACATAATAGTTATAAAATGAACCCCTATTTCCTATTCCAAGGCTGCTGTGTAAATGGGGACAGGGAACATGGTAACTCCCCCTCCTGTGGCCATGCCTCTATTACATTCTATTAATTTGTTTCTCAAAATTTGTATAGCAGAAAAAAATATGTGTTCAGGAATGAGAAGGAGTATAGTGCAGCTAGAAACTGTGTGTTATTAGATGGGGTAGATGAACATGCTATTAATCTTTATAAGCTGATAGGCTAGGATTTTAAGACTTTAAGATGCTCTCTTCTCCCACATGAAAAGAAATACTGAAATTATTGCATCAATTCCAGAAGGTCTGTGACATTTGCCCCAAGCCAGTTCCACCCTAACATCATTTGCAAATAGGACTTCTCACAACATCAATTTTCTTGTACATTTTTTCTAGACCTAGGGAGTTTAATTTGATCTCTTTAATCTGAATGGTGGAATCAAAAATTTTATTTACAAATTTGGCTTGAGGCTTTTTAGTCTAGGAAATAGTTCATTGTAGTTTTGATATACAGGCCTCTATTTTACTGGGAAGCAAAAATGAGACAAAATAAAACAAACAAAAATATCCAATGTCATTGAGTTAGTGAGCCAGAGATAAACTAGAACAATTTCCAAACTATCTATGATGAAAGACCAGTTATTTATTTTTAAAAATAATTAATGTGGTGTACATTGACAATTGCAAAAATGTAGTAAGTAGTGAAATACAAAAAAAATCAAATGTAAAACCAAACATATGTAATGCAAACCATCCAATTTTATGTTCTATAAACTTAATTGATATAAAATTACACTGCCACTTGGCAATAAAAGTTTCTACTCACTTTGCTGCCATGATGAGGATGATGGTAGTGATAGTGATGACAATGATGACGATGATGATGATGACGATATGCATGTGTGACAAGGAGTTTACAGACTTCCTCTGGTTTTATATGCAGCTTGGGTAGCATTTTATTTCAGACCTGAAACCCAAAGGAAACATTTACATGAGCACTACTGAGGATAGGAAGAGAAGATTGGGAAAAGTAAATGAAATATGAAATAGCTCTAAATCACAGACGAGATTTTAAAAAGTTATAATATTATTTAAAAATATCTTTTTACTAGCATTCTCACCGCCTAGAGGGGAATAGTTGACACAGTTAATTTGAAAATTTGTCTATTTTTGATTAGGTAGAAAAAAAAGATATGCTGGACAATAGAGGTAGGAGAGGTTGAAAGACAGGCGTGGGCTTTCTGAATCTAAGATTAAATGTTTGAATTTTCTGACATGATTTTAAATCTTCATTACAGAAAATTTTTATAATGATGTGATTTGGAGTCTCCTAAAATATCAGCTTGCATTCTTACATAAATGATCACTTGCTCTTCTTTTCCAGCTCATATATTCTTCTATTGCTGCTAGAAAGTTGTCCAACAGCAAGGACCTTTCAATCTGCCACTCAAAGGGTAGACATTTTCTTAGATTAAATATTTACAAAGTAATCACACAGTGTAACAGAATATTTTTATTTCTACATGGCACTTCATGGAGCCAAGATGACCTGAAATAAGATTATTGACTGACACTCATTAATCTAGTATTTAAAATGGTTAGAGACATTTTTGACATTTCCACCCCCATTTAGAGAAAACTACCTTCAGTATTTTTTTTAAATGACAGGTAAATTTTAATATTGAACTGCATAGAATTTGAATTCTTGACAGATCTAATGATTTTGACAGCATCTAATTCAAATGGAGTTTCACAATCTCTACAGACCACAGAATAAAGAAATTTAAATTATTTCAATGACGGAAGTAGATCTGAAAATAGAATAAGAGATACTGTCTGACTTGTCAGTCTTTGAAATTACGAATGATCATTAATGGGCATCTCATAGAAGTTTCTTTTCTCAAACTGATACCACACATAGGGTCCCTCTGCAAGAAAGCATCATCTATCAAAAGTGACAGTTCATGGAGCAGTAAATATAATGATATTTTAAACTAATGATTTAAAAATTTTCTGGGAATCTCTAGAGAAACTGATAAACATAGATTTGCATTTTAAAACAGCACAAAAACCTCACTGCATACTTAATCCTTAAGTTTTGGTGTGGACTTCTTTTTACATAACCATATACATAATCATCTATACCCACAGTGAAAAGACTGTATTTATTGTGTATATATGTGTGTGTGTGTATGTGCATGTATGCCTATATGTATGTATATGCATAGGATTTTCTAGATTACATTTAATAATGAAGTGCCAGTATTGTTTTTTCCACGAAGAGGGTAATTCTTCCAAAACATAATGTAAATCAGGCCCAAAATATTAATAGCAATAATAGCTGGAGTAATTATAGTAGTAATAAATGTTCCTGGCATATTTACCAAGTGAAAGGCATTATGATAAAATTTTACACACATATCAGGTAAGTATAGTTGCTATATTTTTTCTAGTTTACATATAATTGACCTATAACACATAAGTTTAAGATGTACAGCAAATTAATATAACACATGTATGTTACAATATGATTACCACCTAGTGTTAGGTAATATCTCTATCATATCCCATCATTACTTTTTTTGTTGTTGTAAAGAAAACATTTAATATCTAGTCCAAATGCCCAAAAATAGATGACTGGATCAAGAAGATGTGGTATATATACACAATGGAATATTACTCAGCAATCAAAAAAGATAAACTCATGCTATTTGCAGCAACATGGATGGAGCTGGAAGGGATCATGCTCAGTGAAATAAGCCAGAAAGAAAAAGAAAAATATCAGATGGTCTCACTCATAGCAGGGATTTAGAAAACCTAAATAAAGGATCAGGAAAAAGACTAATTGTAATAAAGTAAAAATCAAAATCAACAGGCAACTATAAACCAGAGACACTACAGTGGGGGAAAAGAGAGTAGGAGTAAGATCATACATTGTACAAAAATGAAAAATGATGTAAAAATTAAAAAAATATAAAAAATAAAAATAAAAAATATCAGCACTTATAGGTATAATTTTAACATTATATATTAAATTCCAAGAACCTCCTTATTTTCTAATTAGTAGTCTGATTTTTTTAAAATTTTTAAATATTGTGATTTTTTTCTTACTTCATTGTGAATTTTTGAACAATTTATGATTTCTCCCCTCAGGTGTGGTCATTGTTGTTCTTGCACTACCAAAGCACCCATTACCCTATTTTTTTGTGCTCTTCCCCACTCTTTTTTTTCACACTCTCTACACCTTCTTCCTCCCCCTCCCATCCTGAATACCTCATATCTCTGGTCAGCTTTCAAGGTTTGTCTTTGTCTGACCCTTTGATTTCTGCTATAATCCACATATAAGCGAAATCATCTAATACTTACCTTTCCCCTTCTGACTTAATTCACTTATCAACACTTCCAGCTCCATCCATGTTGCCACAAAGAGTATGAGTTTCTCTTTTTTGATGGCTGGTTAGTATTCCATCGTGTATATATTCCATATCTTCTTGATCCATTTATATGTTTGGGGGCATTTAGACTGTTTCCATAGCTTTACTATTTTAAATAGTGCTGTAATAAACAGAGAGGTACAGGTTTCCTTTCAAATTAGTGTTTTTGTGTCATTTGGGTAGATTCCTAGGAGTGGAATAGTTGTATCATATTGCAGAACATTTACTTGTGTCCTGAGGAACCTCCAGTCAGATTGCCATAATGGCTCAAATAGTCTGAATTCTTGACAAACATTCCCCATTTACTCCATCCCTAGTCCCTAATAATCATCAATCTATTCTGTTTCTAATTTGACTATTTTAGAGACCACATATAAATAATACTATGCAGTATTTATCTTTCTCTGTCTGACTTATGTCACCTGCCACAATGCCCTCAAGGTCCATTTATGTTCTTGCAAAGGATCTTCTTCTTTGTTATGGCTGAATAGTATTCTGTTATATATGTATTTACCATATCTTTTTTTTTTAAAGATTTATTTATTTATTTATACAAGTACTGGGTACTGTCAGAAACGCGGGAGGGTGAGAGAATTCACCAGAGCCAGAGCGTGGAGCAGAACAGGCAGAAGGAAGGAAGTACACTGCTGAGGGGAGCAGCGGGCGGCAGGAGAGGTCTTCGCGCCATGGGAACCCTCCTCCGGTGGCCGGGGAGCAGCCGGGGATCGAACCAGCACTGCAGAGGCTGCGGGCAGCTTCGCAACCCAGCGCTCAACCACTGCACCACGGGGAGGCCCAATTTACCATCTCTTCTTTATGCATTTGTTCATTGATGGACACTTAGGTTATTCCCATACCTTGACTATTGTATATAATGAAATAAATATCAGAGCACTGATATCTCTTCAATAGCCTGTTCTAGTTTCCTTTGCATGTGTGTGTGTGTGTGTGTGTATCTATCTCCAGAAGTACAAGTGATGGATTATAAGGTAGTTCTATTTTTAATTTTTTTGAGACTCCTTCAGACTATTTTTAATAATGGCTGTACCTTTTTTTAAAGAAATAAGGGACTGAGAATAGAGGGGATGGGTTACCTGCAGAATATCATACTGATATTTTATCAAACACAATATTTTACAAACAATGAACTACTTTTATGTGTGTGGTCTGTATTTTACTCAAACTGTTCTATCATAATAAATAAAAGAACAACAAACACTAATAAATCATATTAAAATGCTGATGGATAATGGAATGAGAATACTGAATCTAAAAAATGTCTTAAATAGAGAAATCAACATAAATCAATGCTCTTTCTAACTTAATAAAAGTACCCATCTCTCAATTTTTGATTTTCTTGTAATGTTAGGGGAAAAAAAAAATTTGAAAGTTAATTATATACTAGATACCGAGTAAAATTTCTCATATTTTTTTCCCAGTGGAAGAAGCTTTTGAATATGGAATAATAAAAAGAAAGGCAATGAATAAGAGTTGGAGATTTCAAAAAGAAACTAAGATTTTACATAAACTTTTAAATAGAAGAAAAAAGGAATTAATTTTTATTTGACATTATTTGATTTTTACTATTTAAATGATCTTATTTCATTTTAAATTTAACATGCTAAGAATCATCATTTGTCAGAAATTATTGTTTATTTTAATTACCACCTATATATTTTACATTGTGATCAATGACTGATATTTACACATAGACCATTTGTTTGTGTCTATGAAAAACATCTATAAACCAAGAAGTAAAATCAAAGAACATGGCATAAGGATATAACCCTAGAGTTTCTTATACAGGTTTTTTATAAAATACTGTAATTTAATTCTGAAGTGTAATGAATTCTGCATTTCTTAAAAAATCACCTGATTTTATAGGCTGATAGAGATATCGTGTTAAATGAAAAATGTTGCCCTTTGTTTTAATTCATTTCTTTAAACCACTGATCACATTAAATTTCCCTTAGAATCCTAAATGAAGATCATATATCTTTGTTTTTTCAATTCTTTCCTAACAAAACTTTGTGAGGTGAAGAAAATGGGGAGATCAATTCAGATAATATACTAAAACTTAAACATAATATGATGGACAGGAAAGAAATTAACTTATAATATCAGTTCATTAGTTGTCATTTCTCGCACCTCATACAAACTAAAATTAATTTTTGATAGCAAATGGTAGAAACTGTTCTTTTTTTCAAAGAGGTTTTATCTTTGGACATTGTGGAGCTGCTCATAAATGTGTCATATATTCTTTTTCATGTTATTTGCTAATTCACACAAAAACTCAATGATCTTGTTTGACTGTTGTTTTCATAAATATTTATATATAATATCATTTTCCTTGTAAACAGGATTTTTCCTGCCCAAAGGGAGGAAAAACAATTTGTGTGTTAATTTTATCTCACTGGTTTTGTTCAGCTTCAGTAGTTGTGTATATAAAAGAAGAGATTAGATAAAAGGGAATACAAGCAACCCCTGTTGCTAACGTAAAGAATTTTAATTAGGAAGATGATAATTTTGCAGC